CAAATCAAGTCAAAAAAATTTGACTTGTTTAACTTGAGTTACGTTTCAAGTTAAGCTTGACTCAACTCAAGATAACCCAAACTAAACTTGAGCTAAAAGTGTAGCAAAACTTGAATATAAAGTCAAGTAAAACTCAAGCTTAAAGTCAAGCTGAATTTGAGTAAAAACTTAACAATTTTTTTAAAGGAAGTATAAAAAATTCATTTAAATAGAACAATAAATCGTTATTTTATAAGAACAATAAAAAAATCATTCTGATAGAATAATAATGCTTTATTCTAAAGAAATAATAGAAACAATCATTCTGATAGAATAATAATACCTCATGTTAAAGGAATAATAGAAGAATCATTCTGATAAAACAATAATGTATTATTCTAATAGAATGATAAAAAGAATTATTCTAAAGGAATGATTAAATTATCATTTTAAATTAAAAGAACAATTTATTATCATTCTTAAAGAATGAGTTTATTATTATTCCAAAAAGAATGATTATTTATTTATTGTTTTATTAAAATGATTCTTTCCATTATTCTGATAAAATGATATTTTATCATTCTATTAGAACGATTTGATTTATTGTTTCTTTAAAATGATTCTTTTTATTATTTTATTGAAATAATTCTTTTTATTATTTTTATGAAATGATGCATAATCTTTCTATCAGAATAATTCTTATATTATTTCTTTAGAATGATACATTATTATCTATTAGAATAATGTATTATCATTCTATTGGAATGATTTTATTATTATTCCTTTAAAATAATTTTTTATCGTTCAATCAGAATAAATTGTCTAACGCATATTTATTTGCTAAATATATCTTGAGTTAAATCAAGTCGAAGTTTAAAAATATTTTTGATGACTCAATTTTTTCAAATTAAGTTGAGTTTGACAAAAATTCACTCAACTTGACTCATTCAGAACTTTAGACATTGTTTATATTATAGAATTAATTATTATTTTATAGTATATTTTGTATAGATCATTTTTGAAAATTAATAGAAAAATATATACAAATTTTTTGTATAGGTCAAAAAACTTGTAATGTAATAAAAGAATATGATTCTATTATAATTTAATCATAATTAAATAATAAGATATAATATATTTAATGTAATTATTATGAAAAAGAAGGAAAGTAATTAGTTTGTCATATTAAAGGAAAATATGATCAAGATTAAAGATGTTATAGCAATTGATTTCAAATTTACAAATTATTGTAACATAAGCTAAAATTAGTTGCAACATTTGTTGCAATATTATAAGTTGCAACATATATAGGTTAAAACAAATTATAACATATATTACAATATTAAAAGTTGTAATATATTAATTATGGTTCTCATCTTTAATCAAGATAATCTTTCTTTATTAATACTTATAAGTAATTGGATTAAATTAATTACTTAAGGAAATAATAAAATAAAGTTTTATATTAACAATTAATTCCAAGTTTTTTATTATAAAAATAATATTCAAATTATATATAATCAAAGCTGTTTATAGTATAAACTCTTGGTTCTAATCATTTTTGTTTACTATAATAAGGTTTTATTAAGAGTTCACTATATTGAGAATAATTTTATTATAAAAAATTGATTTAGTAAATTAAAAATAATTTATTATAATATTATTTTATTATAATGAGATTTATTATAATGAGTTTTGATTATAATGTTAAATTAAATAATTCTAAAATAATTATACTTGAAGAATATTTACAAATAGAATCTAATTTGACTGAAAAATTAAAAATTTTTATAATAATAAAAAGCAAATATTAGAATTATTTAATTTTTTAAATGAATATTAGTTAGCACTTCTTAAATCTTTATATTTTCTATTTGAAGAATTAATAAGTAATTTATTAAAATATAAAAAAAAAAAAGTAGATAAAAAACAAATAGAAAGAAATAAATTAGTAAAACTATTAATTAAATTAAAATTAAAAATCTAGTATATTTTATCTTCTATAATTCTTTATTTAGCTCAAAAAAAAAGTTACCAATAATACTTTTTAGTCTTTATTATAATCCTAGATTATTATTTTTATTACATCATATTCTTTAATCTGTAAATGTAATTTCACATATAAATCATTATAAAAGGTAATTAGAAAAATAAAGAATGATAATAACAATAACTAATCCTACTTTACGTTTAAAAAGAAATAATAATATTTGGAATCTTTATATTATTGATTATATTAATTTTAAAGAAAAATCATTTACTTCTGGTAATATATATGATACAACAAGAACAAGTACATATTTTACTTTAAGAATGACATTTCAATTAGAATTACCAAATAATATTAAAACAATTAAGTATTTTATAATTCAACTTAATGATCAAATTTATTTATTTAGTTTAAATCAACTTGCTAAAGAAACTTTTATTAGTTTTCAATTATTAATTAATCAATTTTTTTAATTGTAAACAAAATGAAGATAATTTAATGATTTGATTTTAATTTAATTAATACTAAAATATTTGAACAAATTAATAATAGTATATATTATTTATTATCACATATTATAATACTTGAAGTAAAAGAAATTTTTAATAATGATAATAAATATTTGTTTCTTGTGAAATGTATATTAAAGATTTAGAATTAGTTGAAAATCAACCTATAGAAATTTGTTGTAATAAAGTAATTTTCATAAAATTCTTAAATTTTATCAAAAAAATATAAAAATTAGATCTATTTTAGAACAATGACATAATTCAAAAGGTATGTGTAATGTATTTTTAACAGTTTTTTCAAGTTATGGAATTTATAACCTTGCTGCTATACTAGATGTAAAATTTTTAGATAATTTAGATTTAGTAATAGATTATCATTCTATATATTGAGTATTAAATTTAACATTGTTAGTAGTAGCTTGTGCAATTCATATTTATATTACAAAAAAAAACAAATTAATATTTTACAAATAGAAGAAGAAGATAATGATTTACTTAAAATATTGTATTATTTTTATAAATAGTGTAGTTAGTGAAAAGGCTCATTGGGTAGGTATTAACAGGAAATAACTTAAATGTCTAGCAGCATTTGCTTCATTATTTTCAGTTACAGAAAAACTGAATTAATACTAAACCAACAGTACATTTTTTAGCTTTAGTTGCAAAATATTTATGATATAAAAATTATTATATTATGCTGGATTTATTTATTAATTTAATAAAAGAAGGATATTATTTTGCATTTGATAAAGCACTTGAAACATTTGAAGTAAAATTTATAAAACAAAATATTTCAGATAATATTATTAATGAAAAAAACTTAAAGAATCAAAATAAATCTGCACAAACAGAATAAGAAAGAATTGAATTACTTTATAATGAATTTATTAATGATAAAATAATGTTACATGATAAATATTCAATTAAAAATCATATAAAACTCTTTGAAATTTTAACAACTTTTAATAAAAATTTTTGATTTAATTGCTTTATTAAACCATTCACTTTTTAAAAATAATAGTTAATTAAATTATGAAGGATGTCAAAAATTATATAATTGTTATAATATAGGATTAGAAAGATTAAAAGTAATTTATAAATAAAAAATATTACAAATAGAACCAATTAATACTAAAAAAAGATTTAATGAAAATTTGTATTGTATCATTACTATTGCTATTTATTTGAATAAATTGATTGTTCCTAAATTTTTATCATATATAGTCACGTGATATGCATTTAGAAAGTAAATTTGTAATATGAAAGGACTGGAAAATTTCTTGCATATGTAGAACATAGAGGGTGTATTTAGCATTTAAGTCCTAAGCTTGGGACTAGATCAAACTGTATATATAAAGAGGGTGTACATTTAGAGAGGTCTCACTGTGATTTATTCAGAAAGATTTACCTTCAAAAACTCTATCATTCTTAATTTCAACAAACTCTCAAAATTTACTATGGAACTGTTAAAAATTCAACAGGTATGGCTTTCATAGAAGCTGAATGGATAATTCACCTTCTTGATGTAATAAAGGTGAAACCTAGAAGGACTGACTATGAATTTATTGATTACAATATTACAAATTTAATGATAATAATCCAAGTGGAATTTCATATTTGTGCCCTTGAGCAACCATCCTCATAAATTTCCACTCAGTAAAAAATCAGACTGCTTCATTCTTCCAAAAGACATATATATATATACCTAATGGATTAATTCTAGTCTTTATAAATTTTATGAAACTTCAGTTTCCTTCTGGATCCAGGATGCGTGACATTTTGTCATTATTCCTACAGAACGTATTACATTAACAAATTATACAAATACAGTAAAAAATCTTGATTGGGACTTTGTGAATTTAAGGCTAATGGTGATCTAAAAGTATCTGTGAAGATAACGATTTAAGAAGCATGTAAAATTTTTGTATAAATATGTTATATTAGCTCATAGAGATCTGGTATGAGCAGACAGATGATGCTTTAGACTATTTTTTCATCACACTTGGATACCTATGAAAAAAGTTGTACATGTTTCGTACAGATTTCATACAAGTGTATACTGAAATCATACAGTTTTTGTGTAGTTATTTTAATTTTCCATACAAAAATAATTGTACAGAAATTTTAACGTAGAGAAATCGTACAGAAAAAAAATTTGAAATTTGAAATATATAAAAATCATGCTGAAATTAGCATGACTGAATTTCTGTTTATGTATAAATGTTACACAAGATTTTATATAAGAATACATATACCAAAAGTAGTATTATATAGTAACATGCTAAGGACAATTATCAACGCTATAAAAAAACTTTACCATGTTGTTTTTCATTTGCTATACAATAAAAATGTGATGATCTATCTTTGAGATCTCTTAGCTTGCGTGACTTTTCCTAGTCATGTTTTTTTATAGTAAATATTCATAAGGTAATATTTATGTATATTAACATATTTTATTATCGAAAAATCATTTGCAGTTAGTATACAATTATCATATTTTTTATTTAAACTAATCTATATATTTACCAATTTTCTATTTGATTAATTTCTATTATAAGTTTAGATAAAATATCTAGTGTTTTATCTATTTCCCTGGAATTTTCATCATCTCTCTCTTTTATCTCCATCTTCGTATTATCATCATCAACAAGATCCTCTAAGGTAAATGTATTTATTGATTTTTCGATTCGTTTTAAGAATAATTCAATATTTTTAACCACTCCTTTTTTATAGAACTTCTTACAATAGATACATCTTCTGTGATAACAAGTTGAATGGTAGGTATGACTACAGATAAACACTGTACCATTGTCATTAATAAATGGAAGTTTACATTGATCATATAATCCAGGTTGTGGTGGATACGATGTGCTATATCCTGTTAGTAAACACCATAAGTCTACAACTTTTCCTAGGGTCACAAGCTGATAAATTTCTGAAGGTTTCTTTTTATTGGCTTTTTTATTTAGTTTTGGCCTACTTCGTCCACAATTATGAAATATTTCTTGAAAATACTGTAATAAAAAAAGGCTGGCTTTATTTGATAGAAAATCAAGTGTTCTAATACTGTATAGATATTGTCTTGATTTTCAATACATGTTTTTGTCATGATTCACTAAAAATTGACAAATAAAAATAAATAAAGTATAATTTTATAAACAATCAAATATTAAAATATCCCTAATATTACTGATAACATAGGCCTACTTTATAATACTATTGGTTGTTGCATTTGGTAGGTATTTGCTTGAATTCAGCTATGTGTATTTTTCACATAATAATCATTAAAATTTGGTAAATATGTTTTAATTATATTATAAAAAGAGTGGTTATTATCCTTCCAATAAAACAAGTTCGACAAAAATATTAAGGGTGCTTTATTATAGTTTTTTCGTTTTCATCTCAAAGCAAATGTCCATATTCTAAAAACTGTTTCTACATATTTATCAAATGAACCTAATCGAAATAAAACTGTGTAAATATCAAGAACTACTGGAACTAAGTTATCAAATAAATCAATTGTAGTTCGATACTCAATATTTTTACAGGTTTATCTAAATTTATCCATTACTTTTTAATCTTAATCTAACTTTCTCGTATAATTCTAACAAGAGATTTATTCTCCATAGGCGGGGTTTTTTTGCTAACACCTTATGCTTGCCAAATACAAAATAAAATAGGTTTTCAAAAAAAAATGATACATTAATAAAACCTGTTTGCGACTGTTTAATGACACATGAAGAGGACCTAAAATAGGTAGAAATGCTTCAATTTCACAAGATAATCCTTCTGTGTATAATGCCTTTCGAATAAATATCTGGCCAGGCTAATCTGCAACAATTGGTGTAACCTAATTATCTAAATGCTTTGCTTTATCATTTATAGATAGAATGAGTTTTAATGCATTAACATAATTCTGAACTGAATGTAAATATTGCTCCTTAAATCCAACTAATTGAAGATCTTTCATAGATCGTTCATCTTTTCATTCCACAATATTATCATTATAAATGTGTATTGTTAATACTTCAATTCGATCATATTCATTGATGTTTAATTATTTTTGTGAAACCCAAAATGTTTGATGATTTAAATATGAGGTATCGAATACTCCACCATATTTTCTAATTAAATACCAGTTAATTTTCCATACTTCTACATTTGATGGATTATGAATTGATATACCGTCAAAAATAAGAGATACAAATTGGGAATCTATAACAGGTTTTGCTACGCATGTAACAAAGTGTTTTGCTGCTGAAGTTGAAACTGTATCTGGTCTGCGAAGTTCATGAATTGCATGATAATCATCTATGTTGTAAATATAAAACACATCTTTCTAGTAAAAAAATAATTAGATCAGATATATATACTGTACATATTTTATTATTAATTATAATTAAAGATATACATTTTTTATAAAGTGTTGTTCAACTTTTAATACATATTCTTTTTGGATTTTTTTGTGATATCCATCTACAGTTTTGGTTTATGCTGAATACCCAAGGCTCGACAAAGTATTAATAGTTTCCCATATTACACCTGATACCAATAAGTACAATCCAACTTCTAATTTATGTTGATTAACAAATTTGTTTCGCAAGCTTGCTATTGTATAACACAGCCTAATGATTGATTTTTTTGCTTCATTTATATTGTATGCAGAACGTTCTTTAGGAATGACTAAATTTATCATATAATTAAAAAACCTTGAGTTGAGGATTAGCATCTTCAATCATATGCTCAAATTTTAATGGATCCAATTCTAAATTTGTATGTTCTTTGCGTTGCTGATGATAAAGTACTTTTGTCAAAGTTTGAATTTTTAAAGCAAATGTGAAATCTTAAAGTTTAAAGTTAATAAAAATATTTTATATATAAAAAACATTAGACTAAAAATATGACTAAATACTTGCCTGTATTATTATTAGGTCCGATAGTATTATTATTAGGTTCTATCGATTCTAATACTCCTTTTTTTTGAATTGCTAGTCTTTTTCGAATATATTTTGGTTTTTTTCTTCGTTGATTCCTGTCAGCCTCTACTATAATGCAATAATGTGAGTGGCATAATTGTCCTCCTACTTCGAGATAAGGGTATGTTTGTAGCATATTATTCTTAAGGCATTTATCATACCCAAAATTTTGTAATAAGACGAAACTTAACATTTATATGTGTACAATTCATAATAGAGCAGGGCCCAAGGTTCTTAGTTTTATTCATATTTTCATATTATGTAAAATTTTACTAAAAGAACTAAAAAAAAATTCAAAAAAAATCGCATATGCAACTTGTACGGAGAGTCAAATTTAATTTAACCAATCACAATTAGTAATTGATTAGCCAATCATAAAGAAATTCAGTCATGCTGCTGAAATTGTATTGAAAAATTAAAACATATCAGATTTTGTATAGTTTAGTATTTTATCGACGTATGGAAAATTTAATATTACTAAAAGTGGGTAAATTAAATTAATT